TGTATTAGGCCTATTAAATATTGCAGACTTTTGTCTTTTCATAGCTTCACGGCATGTAAAAAGTCAGCATTTTTCTGTCCACATAAATCAGCAGCAGCATATAATCCCTGTTACAGGGGTTAAGGGTTTGGGCTAGAAATCAGGAGTTTGGTCCTTCCCTAAGCATGGGCGATTTGGGCGAGCCATTCTTTCAGCCCAACCCACCTTGCAGAAAGAAAGAAAGAAAGAAAGAAAGGAAGGAAGGAAGGAAGGAAGGAAAGGGAAGGGAAGGGAAGGAAGGAAGGAAAGGAAGGAAGAAAGGAAGGAAGGAAAGAAATAAAAAGAAAGAAAGAAAGAAAGAAAGAAAGAAAGAAAGAAAGAAAGAAAGAAAGAAAGAAAGAAAGAAAGAGGGGAGGGGGGGAGGGAGGGAGGGAGGAAAGGAGCAGCACTTCATACATTCCCTTGAGTTTTACAAAAAAATAGCAATAGAAATAGCCGTTAGACTTAGATACTGCTTCACAGGTCTTTCCAGCCCTCTCTAAGCAGTTTACAGAGCCAGCCTATTGCCCCCAACAATCTGGGTCCTCATTTTACCTACCTCAAAAGGATGGAACCTTGAGTCCAGTAAGATTCGAACTGTCAAATTGCTGGTAGCTGGCAGTCAGCAGAAGTAGCCTGCAGTACTGCTGTCTAACCACTGTGCCACCATGGCTCTTAGGCAAAATATAAATCTCTGAATTTAAATCAAAGCTCCTTCTCTCTAGTCCCACTGGTTGTTTATCAACCAGATGTCTTGGCAAGAAGTGCATAGACAAAGGCATACAATAAAATACCTTGCCTACTGTTTGTCCCCAACACCTGGCCTATCATAACCCTGTGCATTTGCACCTCCCATGTGGGGAGGAGGGGAAGCTTCAAAACAATTCAGGCAAGGATGTTGACACTACCACTCGATATTCAAGGCAGCTGAGAATCAGATGACCAAGAATCCCGACCTGCTGCCTGCCACATTCTCCCATGGACCACAGCTGTCTTCTCTCACTTGTAGCTCTCTTTGTTGCCGAGATTATTTATATATATATTTATATATATATAAATAAACTGACCAATCCAAGCTAATTCTGAGATTGTATCCTATATATTTGAAACGACTTCAAGATTGAAATGCTCTGATTATATAGGACTTACAACTGTTCATTTAGTGACCGTCCAAAATTGCAATGGCACTGAAAAAAGTGTCTTATGACCATCACAGCATACCCATGGTCACATGATCAAAATTTGGGCAGTGGGCAACGGACATGCATTTACAACAGTTTGCAGTGTGACAGGATCATGCAATGACCACCTGCGGCCTTTCCGTCAGGCTTCTGACAAGCAAAGTCAATGGGGAGAAGCTGGATTCACATAATGACTAAGTGATTCACACAAGTGTGGCAAAGCAGATCCTAAAAATCAGGTGTGACTCACTTAACAACCGCCCTGCATAGCAATAGAAATTCTAGTGCCAATTGAGGTCGTTAAGTTGCGGACTCCCTGTGAAGTATTTTGCCTATCTCTTGTCATTCCCCTTGTACAGACAGTCCTCAACTTACGACCACAACGGACTCCAAAAGTTCTATTGCTAAGTGAAACATTTGTTAAATGAGTTTTCTTGCCACTGTTGTTAAGTGGATCACTGCAGTTGATAAATTAATAACATGGTGGTTAAGTGAAAATTGGTTTCCCCGTTGACTTTGCTTCTCAGAAGGTTGAAAAAGGGAATCACACGATTCCTGAACCCTGCAACCATCATAAAATACCTCAGTTGCCAAGCACCTGAATTTCAATCATGTGACCATGAGGATGCTGCAATGGTTGTGGGAAAAACAGTCATAAGTCACTTTTTTTCAGTGATGTCGTCGAGGATTACCTCAGTGGTGGCTAACCTTTGTTGGCTCCCCTGCTGATAATTGTGCACGCGCTCTCACATGCCAGAACCTAGAAGACAATGCGTGCTGGCGCCCCCATGCTCCCTGCGCATACCTGCATGACCCCGCACGTGACACACATCTCTGCACATGCGCGTGAGATTCCCCCTGCATGTTGCGTGTATCTGTGCATGTGCACACATCTCCTGCGCACCCCTGCCCCCGCGCATGCTCACCAGATACCCAACTATCAGCTGTCAGGTGGCGGCAGCACGCACGCATGCACAGTGGGGCCCTTCTGGGTGAGCTCGTGTGCTGGCAGAAGTGGCTCTGTGTGCTGCATGCTGCTTCCAGCATGCATGCCATAGGTTCGCTAACACGGGACTACCTGTGTTCCCACTCAGAGCCCAGCTATTAGGATGATAGGATGAGAATGCTATTCTCAACAGTCCTCTTCTGTGTTGTAGATGCAGCCTGTTCCCTGGTTTGCTCGAGAATAAGTTTCAAAACAGGGCAGGAGAAGAGTTAAGGGTAGAGACGGCATAATGCTCCGTCCAAATACAACCCAAGACTTGCAATGGCACATTTACGATTATGGCTTCAAAACAGTTCTTCCTGCCTCCACTGCATAAAGCAATTGCCTGGCAGAAATTGAAAAATAGGCCTTCACGGTCAAATTGGAACTGGAAGCTGGCCAAGGTTTCTAAGGCAATTTGAGGATAAAAAAAACACTACGATCCTTAATATTGTATTTGCTGCATGGCTTGTCGAAATGTCCAGATCATTCTCTTATCCAAATAAGGCCTTTGTGGAGTCGTACAGAGATAGCCTTGAAGCAAGGACATGGCAGCTATTAGAAAAATATAAGCTTACTTGAAAAGACAAGAGAGGTGAGAAAAAAATTCAAGACTGGCTCACTCTCTCTCTTAGGCATAAGAGGGAAGGAAGGAGAAACACCGGTAAGCTTTTGTGTCTTTATGTGCGAATCGGTCTTGACTCCTGGTGACCGCCTAGATAAGGCCCTTGAGTTTTCTTGGCAAGAAGAAGAGGTTTGCCATTGTCTGCTTGTTTGGGCTGAGAGAGATGACTGGGCCAAAGTCACCCAGCTGGTTTGTGCCTAATGACTAGAACTCACAATCTATCGGTTTCTAGCTTGGTGCACTAACCACTACTAGACCAAGGGTCTTCAAACTTGACAGTGTTACGACTTGTGGACTTCAACTCCCAGAATTCCTCCTCCAGTCATGTTAGATCGGGAATTGTGGGAGTTGAAGTCCACACATCTTAAAAGTTGCCAAGGTTGGAGACCCCTGCACTAGACCAACCTAGCTCTTCTGTTATTCAATCGGTAACTGACAGTGAACAATCAACTGAAATCGAAATTATCCACTACTCTTGGTCCACCCGCTTTTCTATTATTATAGCCTATATATCAACGCAGTTGAGACACATACATACAAACCAGTATTTCCTGTGGTGTCTATTTCCTTCAAAGTCTACTTTGAAGAGCTGACACATGTTTTCAGGTGATGTCTCACCGTATAGTCAAAAGCCTCAAAAATATATAATCTGTGCCTGAGTTTCAAGATGCAGGAAGTACCTGTCGCAATAGAGCAACAAGTGTGGCAAAGAGTCATAACCAAACCCCCGGTCCATAGACCAGCACTGGGCTGCAGCATGCCAGAAACCAGGCAGAGGAAACAAGCCAAGCCCTATCCGCAGGATGCAGGGAGCAACTAGTTATGGATGGCCCATGCCTGAACCAAATGACAAAAGGGTTTTAGATACCTCAATCTTTGTATCTTGCAAATGCAGACTAAAAATGCACTTGTGCTGGGTAGAATTGCTGCAGGAGAGTGGGGGAGTAAGAGAAAGAGGTATGCTGCGGATCCCATATTTTAAGTATTTTAACTTATTGCAACCTGCTGCGAAATCTTTTCAGTTGGGCAAGCTGTAAAAACTGGGCTATAATTATGTATCAAATCACTTGACATACAATTGGGGAGGGGGTGGCAGGTGGACAACACATGGATGCTTGGGAAAACCAATGGGGCTCACCAACCCAGGTGTGCTCATCCTGTAAAATTACTCCAAAATGCCTGCAGGTTTTATTTTGGGTAATTGAAGTTGATCCTAAATGTTTCGGCAGAACTTCTCATAGTGAGATAGAACGTGCAGATTTGAAGCAAAATATTTTTTTTTTCATTTCATTTCCTGCACATCCCTAATCCAGATGAACCGGATCAAAAAAGGGTTACAAGGACGATCAGAGGATTGGAAATTAAGTTTCATGAAAGGAGATTGAAGGAAATTGTTATGTTTCGCCTTCGGAAAGAAATGGAAAAGGTAAATGAGAAGGTGCCACACAGAATGGATCTGTTTTCTATCACCCCAAAGGGGAAGACAAGGAAGTCAAGGAATTATGGGTGTAAATCGCTGAAATGTTTTTAGGAAATACTTCCTACAAATAAGACCTTAACAACTACTAAACCAATTATTATCAGAACTGCTGAGTGTTTCTTAGGCTCAGCAGCCATTCATTTTGCTTTAATTTGAATGACAGTACTGGACTTGATGAGGATGGCTAAAATGACCACGCCCAAACTGGTGAATTTTTATTTTTATTTTTGTTTTGCTGTGAGAAAGTTCGTCCTGGTGGACATCCATCTTGATATTTTGGCAGCTTTTCAATACCATCAGTGAAAGAATATTTTGTTGGAGCAGCTCTAGGGAGGTAGGATTAAAAAACTGAGTAAGAGGACGTTGGTGTTTTAAAACACAAGGCACGAAGATCAATTAAACACAACCACGCAAGACTTAATTTCATGACAAATGGGATGCAGGACCCCTAGGGTCCATCTTGCTCATCACGTTATTAAACGTCTATACCAGCCAAGAGCTGCATCCAGCCCCCATGTTGAGTCACAACGTTAAATAAAAATCAACTGATTTCTGCATTCTAAAATACAATGTAATATTTTAAAACTGACAGTGCACTCATTTATTTATTTTTTGATAGGGTCTTCATGCTGCAGTCCTTTGACAATACCCCAGCCTAAGTGACGTAGCTTGAAAACACTGGATTAATTTATATGAAGACTAGATAACCCATGACCAGTTGGGTCATCCTTTCAGAGATATTTCCTTACTTAAACAGAAAAACAGAATGGTCAAGGGCAAAAAAAGCAGCGGGAGGAGGAATGATTAACATCCAGGAGGCTTAATGTAGCTGACCAACTTCAATGGACAATCAATGGTGGACTGATCTACCCAGCCTCCAGAGGGCGGGGTGGGGGGCGGGGGGGCTGCACCATGGTGGTTCAGCGGTTATATTGCTGTATTGCAGGCTGACTGTCCATGGTCTGGAGTTAAACTCCCCATTTTATGTATTTCCGATCTTTTACAGCCATGATTGAAAGTTTTTCCATTGCACATATTTAGCTTATGATATCCAAATTCATAAAAAATCATAATAGTTTTTCTAGCAAAGAAATAGTAAGATAAAGCTTCCATACACAATCTAAAACTATCTCATAGTGCTAAATAATAGACTAATGAACTTTATCTCTGTTTTACCTTAATTATGAGCTTGAAGGAAGAATCTACTCTTTCAGTGAAGTTCTACATTAAAAACTGAAGTTTTGATCTGACTCCATATAAAAAGGTACACCACAAGTCACTTACATTTTTAACTGCTGACAAATATAAAATACACAAATTTCCTTTTATACATATACAGCAACTATTTTCCATGGATGGTGGGCAGGAATAACAAAAGCAGGCAGGGACTTACTCTGTTCTGATGGATATTCCCGTGTCGGAAGGTAAACTGAAGGTCTTCTGTTCTGTAAATAATTTTTTTTTTCAAAAATAAAAGAGTTATGCTGTGTGTAAGACACAGTTCAGTCCTCATACTGTTAAGCATTCAAACTGAAATTGTAATTGAATATTTCTTACAAAATAAGAAAAAGATAACTTTCCAAACAGATCATTAGCCATCATGTCCTAATGGAAGCTGACTTAATGCTTATTATTTGCTGGAATTCTCCAATGGATGCAGAATCTGTCAGGTCCCTGTTAGATTCAGAATAGTATTCCTTCACTCCCAAATAGGCATTTAATGCATTTGTAAGATATATATCCCACTTCTCATACAAGCAAGCAAAGACAAAATATATACCACTCTTCTCCCCATCCCTACAATAACTCTGTACAGCAGACTAGGTTAAGAAAATGAATGGCTCAGTTACTTAGTAAGCTTCCATTACTAAGAATGAATAAAAATCTGGGTTCTCTCTGCTTCTAATCCAATATTTTAATCGCCACCAGAGTCTCACAACAGCATTGGACAACCATGGAAGTTAAACAGACTCTGCTTCTAGATCACTGATGGCAAACCTATGACTTATGTATCAAAGGTGACCCTGTTTTGGATGACACCTCAAAATGCACTAAACACCTGGCAGCCATTCTCAAAAGCAGGCCCCATTCTCAAGTGATTTTCGAAGGCTGCACAAGAAGAGGTTGTGCTCTCTTGTGGCTTTCAAAGTGGCTCCAGAGGTCGGGCCATGCTGCCTCCAAAGATTATGTGAGATTGGAGTGTGCTTTCGCACAATTTTCAGAGGCTGCACAGGCCACGGAAGAAGATTTTCGAAAGCCGCTTCAAGAACAAAAGTCTTGTGCAATCTGGAGTTGAGTAGGCTGAAAACAAAGGGGACACCATCTGAGGGTAAGTAAGGCACTTCCTGGGAACCACACACAACAGGACAGTATTTTTTTGTTAAATGAAAATGCAGAGAATGATTTCTCCTTTGTTCAGGGCAGGAGGTAACACACCAGCAGAGTCGGGTTAGGCATTTTCAGAATTTTTGACATACCGACCCTCAAAGTCTGCTATCACTGTTCTAGACCAGGGGTCTCCAACCATGGCCACTTTAAGACTTGTGGACTTCAACTTCCAGAATTCCTCAGCCAGCACTGGCTGAGATTGGAGACCCCCGGTCTAGACAGTTAAAGGTAAGACTTGGCCTGACTCTTGAACAAAGGCATTCATCCGTTTTGTTACATATACAGGTGGTTCTCCACTTACAACCATTCCTTTAGTGACTGTCTGAGGTTACCACAGCACTGAAAGAAGTTATGACTCTTTTTCACACTTAACGACCATTGCAGCATCCCCACGGTCATGTGATCCAAATTCAGACCCTTGGCAACTGGCATGTACTTATGACCTTTGCCCTGTCCCAGGGTCACGAGATCTCCTTTTGTAACATTCTGGCCAGCAAAGTCAACGGGGAAGCCAGATTCACTTAGCAACCGTGTAACTTAATGACTGCATATTTCATTTAACAACTGTGGCAAGAAAAATCGTAACATAAGGCAAAACTCATTTAACAAATGCCTTGCTTAGCAACAGAAATTTGGGGCTTATTCTAGTCGTACTTTGAAGACTACCTTATTTTCTTTCTCACATTTTTCTTTTTTTTAAACCAGTCTAAAGCAGATTGTTTGACAGTGACAACTTGCTTAAAACATTTAACAGTATCTTTCTACTGGAAAGTATTCTGACCTATTGTAGCAATAGCACTTATATATCGCTTCACAGTGCTTTTACAGCCCTCTCTACAGAGTCAGCATATTTCCCTCTACAATCTGGGTCTCCACTTTACTGACTTGGAAAGATGGAAGGCTGAGTCAACCTTGAGCCTGTATCTGGATGGAAAATTCCCAGATTGATAGAAATTTTAGATTTTAGTCTGTGTCAAGTAGTTTTCTTCTGCTATTCCCAATTCTACCTTTGATCAATTCCATTAAAAGTTCTACTTCCATTCACCTATTTTCTAGAGGTATGTAATACTCTTTAGCTCAAGGGTCTTCAAACTTGGCAAGTTTTAAGACTTGTGAACTTCAACTCCCAGAACTCCTGAGCTAACATGACTGGAAAAGGAATTCTGGGAGTTGAAGTCCACAAGTCTTAAAGCGGTCAAGTTTGAAGACCTCCGCTTTAGCTAATGGTTTCCTCTATCCAGTCGTTTCTGGCTCTAGGGGGCGGTGCTCATCCGTTTCTTAGCAGAGGGAACCAATGTTGCCTGAAGACATTTCCATGGTCATGTGGCCAGCATGACTATAGGCCCCACACAGAATGCTGTTGCCTTCCCACCGAAGTGGGACCTATTTATCTACTTGCATTTGCATGCTTTCAAAAGGCTAGATGGGCAGGAGCTGGGGCAAGTAATGGTTGCTCACTCTGTCACCATGATGTTTGGGTCTCAAATCCAGGCTGTCAATTGCTGAGCCGTTGTATTCCCTATGAAACACTTTTTACCCAGTTCTGTTACAAGTAGTCTTCGTTTAGAGACCACAATTGGGACCGGCAACTCGGTCATTAAGCAAAGTGGTCGCTAAATAACCACCACAACCATGCACATTTTCTCAGCTTTCCTTTGCTGCTTTATAGACCTGCAAAGGCCAAAAATGGGAGGATTGATCACAAAGTTACTTTTTCATCTCCACTGTAACTATGAACAACCGCTAAATAAGGCAGTGGCTAACAAGGACTGGATGTAATCGATTACTTACATTTTGTTTTGGGAGGTGTTTTTTTAATGTATTGCAATACGAGACTGTTATAGATTCAGAATTTACAAATATATATAATTTATATAAACATATGGAAAGAAAAAGAAGCCAATATCAAAAAGACTACAGCTATGACAGTTTAATAAGTTAATCTTTTAAAAAACAAATCACAGAATTCTCTCTTATTGTAACAGCCTATCATAGTTACCCCTTGGAAAATGTGGGCGTTTTTAAAAAAAGTATTTACAAAAAGAAACAAAAGGTAACCAGCTATTATTAAAATACCTGTCTTCACTTTCCTATAACACATGTGTTTGATCTGTGAAATTAAATGTTTTAGAGATTTTTCTGCTATCAGCATATACTAGAAACTCTACTCAAGAAAAAGATTAGCCAGAATGCATTAAGAAAACTAATGCAGGGTTTAAACATGAGCATGGATAATTAAGCCTCTGAGACTGATGCGTATTTATTGACCATTTGTGTTGTCCTCAATTGCCATTATCTGATTTTTATGATCTTGTTTATTTGTATTGTTTTTTTAACCCTATGTTGACCACTCAGAGTCACTTATGCAAGATAGTCATATGAATCAATTAAATATATAAATAATCCTTGATCTGCATGAAACCTTCAGCCCGCTGAGAATCCAAAAAATGGCCAAATTTTGGAATCAATTTTTGTTTTTTTGCAACAAAGGGATTAAGCTAGGGACCCTTACAGCACTGCTATAAAACTTTTGGCCAACTATGAATGTCATTCTCATGAATTTACAACCAAAGAGACAAAGATACTTACCGATGCTTTGCATACAGAATCTGCATGGAATCGGCTGAAGTTGCTTTTGTTATAAACTGGCAATCCTTTCAGAAAGTCAGCCTAAAAAAAAAAAGAAATCCCAATCACAGGCACATAGACTAAATCTCAGGATCTAAAGTAATGCTCCTCTGACACCAGATGGGCCACACCAAATTTTTAGTAGCCAGCAGTGGGTATTTCCCTTTCAAAAAAAGGTACTTTATTTTTTTATTATTTCACAATCTGATTTTTTCAACCTCCCATCTTTATAACACTCCCTAAATAAATCTGACCATATACGACAAACAAGCCACCTGTTTTCATAGGTAACTCTTTTAACTTGCATGGACCCCACTTCATGGTGCTCCAATCTCTCTCCACCATAAGAACAGACAAAGGGAAAAGGGCATATATGGAACATTAATCAAAGCCAGGACCAGCAACCTGTGTCATATTTTTAAAACCTGAGGCTCAAAATGAATCCTCTATCTGAGCTTCCTTAACTGAATAATGTGCCTTACATTGTTTGAATAGTCTAGACCGGCAGCCAATAGACTGAGATGCTCCTGAACTGAGCAAGGTTGGATGCCATGGCCTAAATGCCCCTCCCAGTTTTGGGACTGAATTAAGTACAGGTAGCCCTCTGCTGACATTCATTCATTTAATGACAGTTTAAAGTTACGACACTGAAAAAAATGCCTTATGACTGTTTTTCACTCTTACGACCATTGCAGCATCCTCATGATCCCATGATCATAATTCAGACACTTGGCAACTGACCCGTCTTTATGACAGTTTGCAGTATCCCGGGGTCATGTGATTACCTTTGGCGCCCTTCTGACCCGCGAAGCCAATGGGAAAGCCAGATTCACTTAGCGACTGCATTACTAACTTAACAACTGCAGCGATTTGCTTAACAACTGGGGCACGAAAGGTCGCAGAAATGGAGCAAAACTCACTGAGCAAATGTTTCGCTCAACAGCAGACATGTTGGGCTCAATTGAGGTCATAAGCCAAGGACTACCTATACAGCATACCCTAGCAGAGAGTACCAAACCTCCATCCTAGGCACAAGCTCCCCCTCCCCATAGACACCCCAAAAAAGGCTTATCCGGGCAATATTCAAGCCAAGCAAGATCTCTGGATCTTTCCTGATCCAAAGCTGAAATCTAAGCCCGACCCCATTTCCCCGTTTTTTGTTCCCCCGACCCTCCTGGCAATCCCCCCAGCCCCCTCCTTCAGAATCGTCCCATGCCCGCCTGCCTGCCTGCCGCCTAATCCACACCCCGAGGCCCTTCTTCGTTTAACCCCTCCAACGTCCATTTACGGATGGAGGTCACCAGAGGCAGAGCGGAGCTCCCACAGATCCTCCTCTAAGGCCGCCTCCCCAAGGTGGGGGTCCCGGCCAAGTCCCGCACCCCAAATCCCTCGCCGCCGCCCCCCCCCCCCCCCGATAAAGGCCCTCCTCCCTGAAAAACCTTCTCAGCGCTGGCCGGGGGTCTCGCTGCCCTCCCTCCCTGTCCGAGAGCCCCGGGCCGGCCCAGCCCCGGCATCACCCCGTTCCTGTCCAGCGCCCGGCGCTCATTGCGCCCGGTTGAAGCCCACCACCCGGCACGCCCCCTCCCCTGGGGAGCCCTGCCTCCTCCCCCTCCTCCCTGAAGGGGAGGGGACACAAAGCCGGTGGAGGGGGACGCTTCCACATCCAGGGCTGGGAGTGCCCACCTACCATTTTCCCCCCACCAGGCACCTCCTCACCAACTTCTCATCTTCCTCCTCCTCCTCCTCCTCTTTCTGGGTTCCCTGCTCGGCGACGCCCATGACGAAGGCCATTGGGCCGCCGATAGCGGAAACGGAGTCCCCATTGGTTCCTGTAGACGTCGCTCTGGAAGAAATGCCCCCCCACCTCTCTCCCGTGAGCTACGGAAGGGGAAAGGGAGAAAAGACGGAAGGAAAACCGCGGATGAGCCGGGCTTCCTCCGTGGCTTCATGGGAAATGTAGTGCGTTCGGGAAAGGGAATCGTGGGTCTCTTTTTTTTTCATAAACCCAACATTTCCCCCCACGTCTTATCAGGGACCTTGTTTGAGATGCATGGGAGTTGTAGTTCAATGTATTTGAAATATACGTTTGGGCAAAACTGGAGGCGCCTTTCACCGCCTTTTCATGCTCGTAAATTTCTAGTGGCGTTTTCCGATGGCTGTTGAAATATATGATATTGATATCTGACTCTACTGATAATACGTTGCGGAGGGCTTGGTAATGGCCAAGATGATTTAAAAGAGGACTAGAAACACGTGTAGAATTCTAGTTTACCAATGGCTATGAATTCTAATAGCTATGTTGTAAAGGACTTTCAGAGTCAGGCAATGATAGGTAAAATACCGTCTTTTCTGGGAAATTGGGAAAGGACTCCAGTCTGTCTGCTTAGACTGCACAGTTCCAGGATGCATCTTGTAACAAATAAGTTATTTACTTATCATATTGATATACAGTACATAGTCTCCTATTCTCACTCAGGTCTTTGGGGAGGAAGACTTGCCATCTCTTTACCTTGAAACTTGGTTGATTTAAAGTTATATAGATATGCAGGCGTTTCTATATAACAGCAGGTAGCCGATTTTGACTATTAGAAAACAAAGCAAGGATGAATCTGGTTAGCACTGAGGAAAGGAAAAGGAAGCTGTGCCCTTTAAGGAAAAAGGCAAAGTTCTTTCCTTTTGTGGATTTAAATTTCCCGGCTGGGAGATTTTACTGCAAAATCATTTGGTCAGCTGCATTGGAAGCCAGAATCAGTTTATTAATAGGAAGGCAAATAAGAATAAACCCTAAGGCGTTCCTAAGATTAATAAGTGAGTAGGAAAACCTCTTTCTTATACACTTCAGGTTCTTTGATTTGTAGGTGTGAATCTTTGAAGTCTTTGATTTGTGTTTGAGTTCCTGTTTCTTGAGATTGGGATCTCTTCCTGGGATCTTGGTAGGAGTAATTGTTTTATAGTCCAAACTCTGTTTTTCCGTGATTCTTTGTAGCTATCAGTTTGCACCTGGTTGCAATATCCTGAGTTTCCTGTTATGCTGTTTGCATTTCACAATTTTTTTGTAGCTTGCTATCTATTTGATTTCTATGGGAAAGGATCCTAGTTAATGTGTGTCCCATGCAAAGGTGAGGGCTAATGGAGCTGTCCCTGCTTGTGTTTTCACCTCTCCTTTCTTTTAGGGGAATTTTCCTTCCCCTTCTAATGTTTTAAGATTTCTTTTCTTTTCCTAGAAGAGAGGGGAATGGTAACTTCCAACAGCATTTAGATCACCACCAGAAATCTCAGAACTGTGGATTAGATTGGGAACCCCCAAAAAGTAGGTACAGGCAGTCCTCAACTTATTGAGCCCAAAATTTCTGTTGCTGAGACAGTTGTTAAGAGTTTTGCCCCATTTCATGACATTTTTTGACAGCAGTTTATTGAACCACTGCAGTTATTGTTAGTAAGAGCCGTGGTGGTGCAGTGGTTAGAATGTAATATTGCAGGCTAATTCTGCCGAGTTTGAATCTCACTGGCTCAAGATTGACTCAGTCTTCCATTCTCCCGAGGACCTATTTTGTTGGGGGCAATATGCTGACTCGGTAAACTGCTTAGAGGGCTGTAAAGCACTACGAAGAAGTACATAAGTCTAAGAGCTAGTGCTAGTGCTATTGCTGGAAGAAATATCCTTCTGGGTTCAGTTCCAAGTGGGAAAAAAGACACTGGATTCATGGAAGTTGCTTGGAAAGAAGGTTTATTGATGAACAAGATCACATGCCTTGGAGATCCTGGGTGAAGAAAAAAAGGAAGAGATGCTGAGAGTCCCTGGGTTTTATACCCTCTCTGGCTTTGAACTTCCTGAGGCACAGGAAGAGTATTCTGATTGGTTGCTGTCAAAGGTCATGGCTATCTTTTAGGTTGTCTGTGTGCTAAGTTGGTTGAAACTTGCTGGGCGATGCAATGAAGGGCAATGAAATGGCTCTGCCTGAAGGAGGTAGGACTTTGTTATGTAGAATAGACTGGCCCAGGCCTTAATGGCCCATTAACAAAGGTGGGGGAGGGCTGAGTTTCTGCCTTTTTGAGTTTCTACTTCTCTTTTAGGGGAAATATTCTGCCTTTTTAATATTTCCTAGAATATTTCATTCTTCTAGGAGAGGGGTCGGAGCTAACTTCCTACACTAGTAACCGGGTTGTTAAATGAATCTGGCTTCCCCACTGATTTTACTTTTCAGAAGGTTGCAGAAAATGATCAAATGACACCAAGGACACTGCAACAGTCATAAATATAAGCCAGTTGCCAAGTGTCTGAATTTTGATCATGTGACTTTGGCAATTTACAAAATGGTCCTCTGAAAAATGGTCTTGTCACTTTTCCAGTAACGGTAATGTGCTTCACAGCAGGTATTTTTTCAGAACACCCATGCTATATTACATATACTCCTTGACTGATGATCACAATTGACCATAAAACATCCGTTGCTAAGCAAGACAAATGTTAAGTGAATTTTGCCCCATTTTACGACCTTTCTTGCCACGGTTGTTAAGTGAATCACTGTAGTTGTTATATTAGTAACATGGTCAATCAGGCTTCTATTTCAAGTTGTTGGCTTTAGGCCCCAACACCTTATACTTTTTTATTGACTATATGCCTAATATATTCTTTACTGAATATATGCCTAAAGTCAATGTTCTCAATAATCTATCCCTAACTTGGTCTTTCAGGTCTTCCAATATTGCCCCCTTTGTCACTGTAACGGAGTCCATTTCTCTTCCTGCTGATCAATCTCTTCTTTCATTCCACTTTTCCTAGTATTAAGAATCTTCTACAGAGAGTTGAGTCTTCAATAATACTATATTTATAGTTCAGGGTTGAACATGGTTGAACTGGGAATCCTTGGTGCTCTCTGGGGTGGATACTTTCTTGCAGATGTCTCATTATCCAGCTAGGCAACACCTTCAGTGATAGAAAGGAGTGGGGTTTGCTGCTCTCTGTTCATATATAGTGACTGTGTTGGTCAGAATGTTGTTTTCTTCATGGTAGTTCCTCAATTACACTGTTGTTTACTGATCATTGTGTGAGCAAGGGATATGGGGGTATTGTTTATTGCTTGATTGTTGGTCTAGTATTAATCCTGATGGTAATTTTGTTGTAAACTACTCTGAATGTTTTTACAAAAAGATAAGAGATAAGTCATGGTTATAAGAGCTCCCCTGGGAAGAACAGCAGTGTAAAACATAACACCATCAGTAAGACCACACCTAGAGTACTGCATCCAGTTTTGTTCACCACATTATAAAAGAGATGTTGAGACACTAGAAAAAGTACAGAAAAGAGCAACCAGGATGATTAGGGGACTGGAGACTAAAACCTATGAAGAATGGTTACAGGAACTGGGCTTGGCTAGTCTAATAAAAAGAAGGACCAGGGGAGACATGATAGCAGTCTTCCAATATTTGAGGGTCTGCCACAGGGAGGAAGGAGTCAAGCTATTTTCTAAAGCACCTGTAGACCAGACAAGGAATAATGGATGGAAACTGAACAAGGAGATATTTAACCGGGAAATAAGGAGAAACTTTTTGACAGTGAGAACAATCAACCCATGGAACACCTTGCCCTCAGAAGTTGTGGGAGCGCCATCACTTGAGACTTTCAAGAAGAGATTGGACTGCCATCTGTCAGAAATGGTGTGGGTCTCCCGCTTGGGTGGGGAGTTGGACTAGATGTCCTACCAGGTTCCTTCCAACTCTGATTATCTGTTACCATCAAACGAGGAAAGAATCTGCTACGTAAGGGACAGTTACATCTCAACAGTAATTGCCTCTCAAAATTGCTTATTATTTTTAAATGGATCACTTTGACTATTTTTACAAAAAATAAACCCCATGTAAATGGAAAAAATAAATCTAACAAAACTAAATGGAGGCTGCACTTTCTCCCTTTTAAACAAAACTAGGTCCAACTCCATTTCTCTTTCCCTAATCCACTCAGACCCAAATTGATCTTTCCTGTCCCCTGTAATCCCACCAAACAATAAAAGCTTGCTCACAAGTATCCCCCAAGGACAGCTTTAATAAGGGAGTTGCAACCTATGTAGTAGTAAGGCGAGAAATTCCTTAACATTCTGTCCTCACTCAGCCTGATTATCTCAACATTACATCTTCTTAACAAGGATCTTGTCCAGCTCTGCTGGTCTCCTGAAAAGATCACTTTATCTAACAATCTAGGTACATAGATAAGGACCTGCCCACTACCCCAAACTGATCCTTAGCATTTCCAACTTTGCAGCCTTCAATTTCTATACAAATCTTTGTTTTCCCATTGTTCAATTTCTTGCAAAACAGCTATGCAAAACATCATTCCAAGAAACATAATTCTCCATAGTATTGTAATGTAAACTTCTGAATTTTCCATGACAATTAAGATCTAAATCTAGACAAAAAAACCCAATTACAAGATAAAAGGAGCACAAAGTTTTCCAGAAAAATAGCAAGTTTAATATTTTCATCTTACTCATTTTTTAAAACAAAAGGACACATTTATTTTGAAGTTTGAAACAGGTTTATTCCTTCTTGGAGATATTTTAGATTCACAATCCAAATAGGGACCATTATAATCACCCCTGTATGTAAAGGATGCCTTGTAGAACTGCGTACCATATTGTAGCATTTTCTAACAACAAAAAGAACTAATGTGTCAAGCTTCCAACTTTGTTTGAAAGGGTCTCACTAGAGACAATTTTAATGACTCAGAGATTTTCTGCCTTTCAGCATCCTTCGAAGGATCACTTCGATCCCACTGGCTGTGCGGATACGTC